GCTTTTTTTTTTCTTCATCTGTGAGGACCGGATCTAGCGATCTGCCAGGACCTTGCTCGCTAATCGAAGCACTCCAAAGTTTGGCTACATTTGCGATCAGAAGCCAAAAAAGCTAAGTATAATATCTGTGATAGCTAAACATGTTGCAAGAGAGGTGTCACCACCAACATGACAAAGCACTTTAATTTAATAGATCGTTAAAGATCGTGAGCACGATTCAAACACCAAGTTTTGCCATGTCCCGGAGAACCAGCTATCCCTTTTGACACGTAGCTACAGATGTTCCAGAATTATTTGATTGTTGTTGGTGCTTCTGGAGATGCATGGCCGGTTGAATGCAAATGAGCACTGCTTCTACATTGTCTGGGGACTGAAGGCCAGAGATTGTTTTATATCTTGCCGAATCAAGGTGATTCAATGGAAGATACGATTGCGACCTTGAAAGTGCACTTTGCTCCTCGACGGAACATAGTGGCTGGGCGTCATACTTCAAGAAAACGTGTTCAAGCACCAGGAGAAACCATACTTCAGTACGTAGCTGCTCTACGGGACTTAGCGTCTACTTGTGACTTTGCAGCTACTCTTGACGAAATGTTGCGTGATCAGTGTGGTGGAGAACGTGTCCAGTCATCAGATTCCTGAGAGATTGCTTTTGGAATCTGAATTGACTCTCGAAAAAGTCATTACTATTGCCACTCAAACAGAAGCTGCTGGTGAACAAGCCAAATTATTATTGAGTAATCGTTCAGTTCCTGTGCAAGTGATACATGCAAAGTCTCCACCTGCAGCTGCACGTAACCGCCGTAGACCACCTTCAAACCACCGTCTACAGCGCGTTCTTCAAAGCCTCCATTTACTGCACCTGCTTCATCGTCCCGTGAATGTTATCGGTGTGGTTCTAGGAAACACCTTGCGAATGACCGTAGTTGTCCTGCTGCATCGGCACAGTGTAATAACTGTCAAAAGATAGGACATTATTCGCGGGTGTGTTGTTCGGGACAAATTCGCTCAGTGCGTGAAATTGACTTGCCTGAAGTACAGATCCTTTATATGCATGACTCGTTAACTGATAAAATTCGGTGCACTGCTGTCATTGCGACCGCAACTACGTCTGTGCCTATCGAGCTTACTGGATCATCTGTTTCTATCTTGCTGAAAATTGTGTATGATACACACTTCAAGAAAGATGCTTTGCTGCCTCCTTCATTGAAACTGGTGATGTACTCTCGTGCTCCGATTCCCGTACTTGGATGCTTACCTATCACTGTCTCTAAGGATGACATCACCTGCCCCACGTCGTTCTTCGTGGTCGAATCTGGCACAGCTTTGCTTGGAATGGATCTTATTAATGGACTGCATCTCCGTTTCGAAGGCAATTCCATTTTGCCAGCATAGACTTCAACTCCTGTGCTGCGATTGTCTACTTTGATGCCTTCAGCTGCTTTTGGATGCGCAAAAGGCTTTGTGCACAGAGTAAAGATTTCTTCATCTGTCACTCCTGTGTGTCAGAAACTCCGCCGGTTACCTTTGTCTGTTAGAGACGCAGTCAGTGAGGAAATTCATCGCCTTCTCGAGTTGGGCATTATCGAGAGAGTGGACGCTTCGCTGTGGGTCTCCCCGATAGTAGTAGTACAGAAGAAGTCGGGTGCCATTCGAATGTGCGTGGAACTGCGAGAACCCAACAATGCTGTAGTTGCGGATAGCTACCCACTACCACACATTGAAGAACTGTTGTTTTTGTTAAGGGGAGTGACTGTGTTTTCCACTATCGATTTGGAGAGTGCTTACCGTATTGGCCCGAATATAAGACGACCCTGATTATAAGATGCCCTTTTTCCAGATGTACCTTTTGGAAAAAGGCTTTTTAAAAACCAAATCTTGTTTTTTCTCAGTAAAATACATTTTGTCTTCAATTATTTTCATATTGCATATTTTTCCTATTTTAATTTTTGTTTTGAAAGTATGGTAAAAACTGGTAAATTGTACCAACAATCACATTTAAAAAAAATTGTAAACTTTTTGATATACCATTAAAAAAGCCTACCAAAATCTTATTAACAGTAGAAGTTAAATCTTACTGTAGTCTTCAAATCTGGGTACTGTCTTACGTTTTAAAATCACAAAGGGAGTTTGGTGATTTTGGTTAGCCATCAGGCTAACGTGACAGTCACGACTCATGCAGCTGTAAGGTTTTCTTTTTCTTTTGATTTTACTCGCGATCTTTACAACACGCATTACATTACATATTTCATGGCACACTCGTTTTATGCATATTTGGCGCCACCTATTGTTGTGGGTGTATTATTGACATGTCAAAGTCTAGACCCTGAATATAAGACGACCGCGTTTTTTCAGATGCATTTCCAAGAAAAAAACATCGTCTTATATTCGGGTCAATACGGTATTTTCAGTTGCCATTACACGAGGAGAGCCGCGATCTGACCGCCTTCATTACTCAAAGGACTTTTCAGATTTTGCCACGTACCGTATGGACTTGCTTCAGCACCCTTCGCCTTTCAGAAAATGTTGGCAAAAGTTTTACAAGGACTTCCGAATGTTGCCAATTACCTTGACGATATCAATGTCTGGGGACGTACCCAAACTGAACATGACCACACACTCAAAGCCTTGTACAACGCTTACAGGATGCTGGACTGAAGTTGAATAAATCGAAGTGTCAGTTCAACAAAACCAGTCTGCGTTTCCTGGGCCATACGGTGAATGTGCAAATTCAACCTGATGAGGATCATCTTTCTGCTATTCTTCATGCACCAGCCCAAAAAGGTGCACCACAACTTCACTCTTTCATCGGGCTACTATCGTGGTACAATAAGTTCATTCCCAATTTTGCCACGGTAGTTGAACCTCTGCGCGCTTGCATCAGACAGGGCTCCGATTTCGTCTGGTTCGAGGACACACAGCAATGCTTTGATGCTGTAAAAGAAATTGCTCATACATAGCCCTGCACTTTCATTATTCGACCCAGATTTGCCTACAGTGGTATCTACAGATGCCTCTGACTACGGTCTGGGCGCTGTTCTTGCTCAAGTTCACAAGGATAAAACAGAGCGCATTGTCGCTTTTGCGTCCCGGACCTTGTCACCGACTGAATGCAAGTACTCGACCATTGAAAAGGAAGCACTTGCTTGTGTCTGAAAAGTGGCGAACTTACTTGTGGGGCCGTAAATTCCTCCTGCGCATGGACCATCAGGCCTTAACTGTGCTTCTCTCATCCAAAGGAACTGATCGCACCAGGATGCGCATTGCGCGCTGACTGACCAATATTGACAAGCCTACAACTTGGATAAGATTCCTAAAAGTTTCACACCTACAGCACACATTACAGACATTGATGCACAAACGCAGATATGTTCTACATGTTTACACTATAAAGAATTAATAAACCAGTCTTATAAACTCCTTGATTTCGCTTAAGCAACTTTAAGTATAATATGCATGCACAATAAACTATTGTAAAATTTATTTACATCACTCGACAGAAAGGTTTTTGCAGGTTGGTTGAACCGGCTCATTCGGTTCTTTTTGAGTTGGACGTGCTACTTCGGCTGTGCGTCCTGCGTCATCAGCCCGGAACTAAAGTTCAATTCAGTTCGATTAGTGAACCGGCTCAACCGGTTACTTACTGAGAACCGGCTCAAAAGAACGATTCGTTCAAGAACCGAACATCACTAGTATGTTGAGAATAGAAGAGTAAGGGAGTCAGAAGCGTTCCACCTGCTGCTGCATATGCTGTACTGTTATGCTACTACTTAATTTGGTTAATTAAAGTAAAATAAATTATTTTCGAATGCCTCCTCATTGCTTCTTACCAAGGACATAACACGTACAAGCAATTTTAAACGCTCTGATCTGTCACATATTAGGAGTTAAACGGATCGCAGTTGATCCGTAATAGGTATGGATGAGACCCTACCGTTCGGCACGCACGTGATTCGCAGATTAATTTGCTAATTTACACGTACAAGCAATATTAAATCACAAGAAGAAGAAACGAAAGAGAGCTCAATTTGTTACTCACGCGCTGTTCTCGCACACAATCAAAGCGCGCACAAGCATAGAGACGTGTTTCAGACCGCGCGGAAATACCAAGTTGCGTATACATACACATAAAATTAGCCTATGTCAAAAACCCTTCACGGCATTGTCATTCTCTGTGCTTTAAATATTTTTTTCTTGCTTATCCGAAAAAATAGTCAGATCTGTGACTAAAAACCCCACAATATAATGCGTTGAATCACTATATAATGCTATTACAATACTATATAATAGCAATAATAATAATATACAATACTAATATATCT